CAGCAGCAGCAGCAGCAGCAACAACAACAACAACAACAACAACAACAACAACAACACCAACACCAACAGCAACAGCAACAGCAACAGCAACAGCAACAGCAACAGCAACAGCAACAGCAAAAGCAGCAGCAAAAGCAGCAAAAGCAGCAAAAGCAGCAGCAGCAGCAGCAGCAGCAGCAGCAGCAGCAGCAGCAGCAGCAGCAGTAGCAGCAGCAGCAGCAGCAGCAGCAGCGGAAGCAGCAGCAACAAGAACAAGAACAAGAACAAGAACAAGAACAAGAAGAAGAAGAAGAACAAGAAGAAGAACACGACCAACAAGAACAACAAGAACGCCAAGAACAACAAGAACGGCAAGAACAAGAAGAACGGCAAGAACGGCAAGAACAAGAAGAACAAGAAGAACAAGAAGAACAAGAAGAACAACAAGAACAAAAAGAACAAGAAGAACAGGAAGAACAAGCAAGTTGTTTGAATGGCCCAATAGTTCAATAACTTATTCTACGGTGCCACTGTGATGGTCACCGCAAAGACCGGAACCTGCCTCTTAGCGGTCTGGTGTAGCGACCAGAATCTGCTTGAGGCTTAGGGAGCATGACTTGCCAACTCGCCAACTCGCCAGTCGTCTCGAGCCTGCATGTCCTCGAGCCTCGCAATGATCGACAGCACCTCGCAGCCTGTCTCCTGGATCCGCGCCTTGCGTGGCTCGGGCAGCTTGCGGGCGCGGGCGCAAGCAACATGCGCCAGCTGGGCCCGTGCAATGCGCCTTGACCAAGGCGTCATTTGGAAGCTCCCCAGTGGTAAGCTGTTCAAGGAAAACCCTTTGAGGGCCCAAGCTGGCCAAATTAACCCAGGACGCATACAATCTTCAAGCGGAGGCTCGTTTTCCCATGGTCAAGCTTGCCTCGGACAATTCCAAACATGGAGGAGGCCCCTGTTTCCGTCCTTCTGCCTGGGTCTTACGCCCTGGGGAGCAATCTGTATCAGCGCAGGAGGCGTTTCAAAGCTCAAAGGTCGGATGCTGGAGGGGCTTAGCACGCCGAAATGCGTAAGCTGACCTCCTGTTCAGGACTCAGTTGTGGCGGTCGGCCTTTATTTGGTCTTTTGAGGTGCTCAGCATTCAACCACATAGGACCTCACACCTCAAAAGACCTACTTGGCGTCTATTTGCCATTTGGTGATCGCCACCTCACAGCTCTCTAGCCCCGAGGAGGTGGCCATCCACGGCTTTTTTGCCCCCGCTCACCGCCTCGGAGGGGAAGGCGCGCATCACCGCGATCACCAGGTCCAGCAGGGTGCCGCAGAGCGGCTGCATCTCCGGGGGCGGGAAGGGATAGCCCAAGGTCACCAGCGCCTGCGAAGCGGAAAACCTGTGGGTCCCCCATGGGCCAGAATGAGCCATGATGTTGACCCCGGATTCATAAACCCCTGCTTGTTAATATGGGGTGGTTCCCCTTCAAAAGTGATGATTCCCACTAAAACCAGGGACACCCCCATATTCATAAACAGGGGTTTATTAATCTGGGGTCAACATTAAAGGGTCATGATTAAGACCTGGTCGGTTTGAAAGGATTCCGTTGGTCGGCGTCAAGCCCAAGTAGGGCAGCCTCTTCCTAATTCAGTAGCAAAACAAAATGAAACATGTGTTCGCCTAAACTAGGCCCAAGATGACCCCTGACAAGCGCCCAAAGCAGCACCCTGTCCGGCATCGCCAAACAAGCACCGCCACCAAACGCCACAGCACCTTGAGAACACCGAACAGCACCCTGAACACCCTGAGCAGCAGCGCTCTGCACAGCCTGCATCTCCAAAGAAGCGCCACCAGCAACTGCCTCTGCACCTTGAGCACACCAAAAGCACCCTGACCAGCATACACAAAAGCACCCTGACCAGCACCCACAACAGCACCCTGATCAGCACAAGCAACTGCGAAAATGGCTCCCAACATACGGATTCCCTTCGGATGCCGCACACACACACACACACACACACACCACACACACACATGATTGTCGGTTGGTGCAAGCTGGAACCGTTTTCTTTAGAAGTAGTTAAATGGATCCCTTGAACAATGCGCTCTTGGCACATCAGCCTCCCCTCCAGGCATGCGCCTTCAGCACGTAGTACACCACTGCAGAGTTCTCCGAGTGGACCTGCGACGAAGCGCGGCTGACATGTGAGGCCGGCGGCGGAGCAGTAAAATTTTGTCCTGGGTAAGCGGCCTCTCTAAGGTAGGCCCAACTTGGATTCGGCTCTGAAAGGCTCTTACGTTGGCTTAGCCTTGGCTGTTTGCTTGGCCAAATGAACGGGCAAATCGGCTCAGGCGTCAAACGTGTTGAGGCCTGGTCGCGGTGCCGGCCAAAAGGCAATCCTGCATTAGGGCGGTTGGATCGATCCAAACCAACATTGCAATTCCAGCAACATTCAATCGCGCGCTTCCCTTTCTGGGGGTCAATTCCTGCGATCCCATGAGATCGCCTTCTCAGGGCCAAACATGCCGTTGATTCCAACCCATCTACGCTTGGCTCCAACCCACTTGGTTGACGTTGGAAGGGGAGCAAAAAATAATAAAGCTTAGCAGTTATGTGGGGATTTCCCACTAAACCACAATAAGCAAACAATGTCAAATGTTTCCCAACAGCAACCATGTCCATGCGCCTGCAGGGCCTGCACCAAGCCGTTCACAGTGAAGGCCTGCAGCAGGCCTCGTGGACCAAAAAACTGCGGGAGGCGAGGGAGGCGGTCGGCGGTCGAAACCGCGCACGAGTGAATTCGATCAAGGGGCGCTTTAATGGACGTGGGAATTCATGTCCACCACTTGGCTGGCTTCGTATTGACATTCATAGCTCGAAAAGGCATTCCATTCATGGATGCCGCCCCAGAATTTGGGTGTAAACCGATCTGGGTCAATTCGATGCATTGCAGACACTCGAAAACCCCGAGAATTTTGGGGATGTTTTACGAAGGAAACAGGAGCAACCTCCCATTCGGCCCAATCTGCAGGATAGAAATAGTTGGAGGAAACCAAACGAACCCAAACCGAATGTTCTACCCCGCTTTGGTCATTGTTTTGAGGTTCGCAGCATCCCTGTAACCTCCTGTCCACCTCCTGTCCAATAACATGGAGCCTGACCGGGGGGTCATTTGTACCGCGCTCCTCCAAAAGGGAACCTTGAGTCAGGCTCCATGCTTCTGGTATTTATGCAAAGGTCTGAGTTCCCACCTCTTGACATGGGCCCTTTTTTTCATCCGTTGACGCATAGCGCCATGGGCACGTTTCTCCGCCGGCTCCGCGCCCGGCTCCCCGCCCGGCCTTGCTTGAGGCTGTCCTCCAGGCCGGCGATGGCCACCAGCTTGGCGATCTGCTTCCTCGGCGCGTTTCGGGCCATCGCCGTATGCGTCCGCATGTGATGGGTCCCTTCTTGGATCAGTGCTTCTTTGATGGTCCCTTCTCTGGAAAAAGCAATGGACCAGGGCTACCAAGGGAATATGTTTGTCATCTAAAAGCTGAGGTCCCGCCAGGGAAGCAGTTGACAAGGCGACCTTCTTTTGTGGATCAGTGCTGCAAGTTCCGAAGAGGAAATCACAGGAGCTGAGGGAACCCTAGGCATGCAGCTGTTTGGACTGTCCAAGACCTGCACCGAAGCTGACCAATCAAAGCCAACCAAAAGGAACAACCATCCTACCTCCCAATAGTCGCAAGACTCCTGGACAACTCTGGTCCTTCTTTTGATGTGCTCTTGTCACGGACGGCTTTTACGCAGGACAGCGGATGCAAAACCAGCCACAAACCATGGGCCTCCCTTGCTCGCCACTCGCAACGTGGAACAACGAACCACTCTCAGAGATCAGATCACACAGCCAAGCGTCAGAGTGTTGGCGACGCTATACCTGAGCAACATAGCACTGAGCGCCGAGAGCTCCCGTGCACAGACTGCCATCGTTTTGAGTATTCTCAAGATTCCATGCGTCGAGCTGTGAACACGTATTCGCCGTGGATCACAGGCAACTCGTTCAGCCTGCGAGAAGGTTGAAAGATTGGGCGGAACGGTCAAACAGTCGGAAAACAGAAACCATTTGGGTCCACGCATCACATACTCGAGATGGGTTGATTACAGGGGGAACCCCCAAAGTGGTTGTTTCCTGCTGGTTTCCCTTTAAACCAACCTTAAAACGGCACCCTCAAAAGAATCCCCAAAGGAAGACTCGAAGATTCTTGGGCCCAACAAAAAGACAAACAAGGTACACCCTTTGCGGCTTGCCGTGTCCAGTTTGTGTGCTTCCTTTGTGGTTGCTTGCAATATTTAGGGCATCCACCGGTGTTGACTTCAGATGAATTTGGAGGGGTGCTTGACTGTTAGTGAATGGTTCATCCTTTTTGGGGGGGATTCCTCTGACTACTTAAGTATGGTCCGGATTCATCCAGAGCTCACAACTCTTCCTTCAATCCGTCCCCCCGTCCCCCAAAGGGATTCCGCTTTTGCCGTCCGAGGCGCAGGTTCCGCATGGAGTTGGTGATGACCTCCGCGGAGGTGGCGTGCTCATCGCCCTCGCCCACCACGCAGGCGGCCAGCACCGACTTCCCGCGGTCCGACTCGCATAAGATGGACAGGGCCGCACAGGCCTGCTCGTTCCTCAGGTATGCCATGCACAAGTTCTCAAAATTGGGGAACTCCTGGTGGATGGACCTAGCTTTAGGGGGTTCTCAAAAGAAAAAAAACGAGGGGGAACTCCAGGTGGATGGCTTGAAAGGAGAAGCAAAAGGCAGAAAAAATCAGTGGCTTTAAGGTTGCTCAATTATCGAAGCAAAGCTGATTCCAAGCAGCCATCAAGGCGACAGTTGGAGACCAAAGAGGTCAAGCAGCTGAGTTGGCTTCAAATCTGCCAAATATGATTGGTCAGTACTCTGCTGTACAGGCTTCACATGGTGTGGGAACACTTCACTGCCCCTCTTCTGAGAAAAAAAAAGGCAGTTCTCGAAAAGCGGTGGCGACTTCTGCCAAAACGGGCCCATAGTTCTTGCGCTTTTTCTAGATTCTCAGGAAAGAATCGTTCCTTAGCGGAAGAAAGATGCGATATTTCCCCAGATCTAAGGTCATGTCCACTACTGCCAATGTGACTTGCGGCCACTATATAGCCACGATACAAGAGGTATATACCCTTCTTTTCCGCGGGTGGTTTGGGGTCTTGAAAATCATCCTTAGACCCAAGGGACCAGACTCTTGTGTTTTTCTATGTGATCACGCAACATCTCTCGGTCCCTCTGCTTTTCGCTGCGAAATGGCTCGCGAATTGTTTGGCCCCCCTCTCAGACTCTGGAGCTTCGCCTCTGAGTCTGTCCCTTGGAAGCAACTTGGTCTGCACATGACGTCCCGGGGTTCCAGCGAACGCTGGAGGAGTTTGTCCTGTTGAGCTAGGCGCCAAAAAAATGCAAAACCGCTCGTGCCTCACACCTAATTTTCAGAAGGCCCGTCAGAAGGCACGCCCATGCAACCGCCAAAGCCTCATTTTTCAACTCCAAGAGTTGCCATCTAAGCCCCCAACGCCCCCAATGCCTAGCAGAGCCTCACATGGGGATCCGCGGGGTGCCAGTACATGGCGGCCACCAAGGCCTCCACGCCCTTGCTGTTGATCACCGCCACCTCCAAAGTCAAAAAAAGGCCCTTGAAAAGGAATGTGGCTGAGTGTCTGAGTCTTTTTCTTGGGTTCCCCCCGTTTTTGGGGCTTGGCTTGAAGGGAAACCCAAAGGACAGCCTCCCAGTTGCACCTCCCCTTTGAGTAAGGAAACACGGCTCTTGTTGCAAGGAGTTCTTGGATTAGCGCCGAAGTTTACATGAATGTGGTTTCCGGTGCTAGCTTGCAAAGGATTAGCATCCGGGTGCAAAAAGTAAGAAGGGCTGAGAAGCAAAAACTGCGGAACACGGAACTGGTTTTAACGCACAGGCACACAGCCACAGAAGTCAAACACTCAGGAAATGTTGAGTTCTTAACCTAATTACCCCAACAGTAAAGGGGCTTCACAGACCATCTGTCGATCTGTCGCTTGAGGTTTAGCTTTGCGAATAAAAACATGAATATCGCAGACCTCTAGATGCCCAACTGTTTTTCAAGTAGGACTCGCAGAGGTTCTCCAGGTCTGCTTCAGAATACCCTTAGGTGGGTCCGTGCCTGGTCTATGTCCCATCCTCAACTACTGCCTCAACCCCTGCATCACATGAAGCTGCTGAGGCTGGTTTAAGTGATTAAGGTTGGTTAAGGTGGCTTGATGGTTGGTTGAGCCCTGGCTTGGGAAGGGTTCAGGACTGGTTGAACCATGGTTTCAGGCTCGGGGTTGAGGGTCCAACATTTGGCCCACCAGGCCTTGGCATCATCGGAGCCCGCCACCATGCCTAGGGCATAGGCGCCGCTCATCTGCACCCCTTGGTTCTCTGGGTACTTCCGCATCGCCGCGATGATGCAATCGATGTACCCCGCCTGTTGTGCGACTGCGCGTGCCTTGCTTTGCTTACGTCGAAACTCTTCTTAGACATGTCCATGCAGCAATTTTGCCTGAGCTGGGAGTGTGTGTGAAAGCCAGAAATCGAACTTTCCAGATGGATGATGTTGGCCCTCCCTCGCAGAGCTCCATTTTTGACACACTAGCAAGTAGATTTCGATTTCCAATTCAAGTTGGCCTTGTGTTCAAGATCTTTGATCGGCAAGGGTTGCCATACGAGCGCCCACAACTCATTCGCGGTAGGTTCCACCAAAATATGTGCTAAGGTTTACACAGTTCCATAGATCGCTAAATAAACCCCATCCAGCTGGACAGAAGAATCGGGGCAAACAGGAAAGACGGGCTTGGAAGGCTCTTGAGAATTTCCACTGTATGGCCCACGGCCGGGGCGGATCCATTGCCACAAGCGGCGATGCCAGTGACAAGGAAGACAAGAACCAACCGGCCGTGCAGCTTTCAGGGACATCTGAATTGATCGGCTGAGTTTGTTTGACTTGATCTTTGACCCGCTCCAAAACGGACAATTGCTTCCGTCAAACCCAAGTTCAGGCCCCCTAGAAGCTCCAGTGGAACCCGTCAATGTTCAAGGCAACGGGGAATGTATGGATCAGGGAGTCTTCCCTTGAGCATCTTTGGAAAGTTCCGCCATATCACCCATGGGCCCAAACAACTTGGTCAGGGTTGCGCCGAAGATCTTGGCACAAGAGTAGGCAGGTGGTGAAGCCCGCGCTTTTGGTCTGGTGTTCTGGTCATCTCGTAAAGGAGCGAATTTGGCATTCCTCTGGCGTGCAAGCTTGCGGGTTCTCAGGGGCTCGTGCCCGGACTTGGGGAAGAGCCTGAACATACACCCCGGAAGGAAACTGTCATTGGGATGGTTCAGTTTGAGGTCATTTCAACTCATTCCCTGCCTATCGAACCAGCCCCTTTTACCCGCAGGGTGCGGTAAACCCGCCAAAAGGAGACAAAGATAAAACCGGACGAACAGGCGATGCAGATTGGCAACATGGACCAAAACCTGCGGTTTGCCCCTCCTGTTTGATTTTGGAGCCACACCCACAAAAAATCCCGTACCCCCAGTGAACATCCCAATCCCCACTAAAATAGGTTCTAAAATGGGTGGTAAACCCCCAAAAGGGCACCGTTGGTTTTAACAACCACAGACATAGGACTGATCGAAAGGACATCCATCGCGCCTGCAACAACTTGGCCGCTGCCTCGGGCCAGAGCGTGAGCCCCGACAAGACCCGCAGGCAGTGCTCCTGTTCGCGGCCGAGGCGCCGGCCAATCAAAAGGGGAATCTGCTGTTGAACCAAAAAGAAGCTGCATGGTGTGAAGCAGACATTAGAACTGGATAAACGCACCTTCTATGCGCAAACCTTTTGTGTATAAACCACTGTGAACTTCAGCCATTGCATATTACATGGTATGAGTTGTAATTAAGAACCATTCGGTGAACATGAAAGATACATGAGATACAGTCAAATCTCTTCGTGGTATCCTCTTGGTGGAATCCTCTGTTGGCCGATCCTATCGTCTGCGACCTTGACCGCTTGTCCACACTGAAATCTGGTGGATTCCAAAGATGTTGCAATAACCTATATACCTAGCCATTCCTAAGCATTTTTTCAAGAATCCATTTGTACGGTTAGGAGGGAGTCCCGCTCCCATTCCAAAAAGATCCATTTTGGGGCATTCGAGATTCGGCTTATATCGAGCACGTTTCAATGAGTCGGTTTCATTTTGCGTTCTGACCAAGAACAAGCAACTACGATTTCCTTCCAGCACTTCTACCTCCTGAGTGGATTGGGCAAAAAGTTCAAACTGTTTGCTTGCCACTAAGGGTTACTTGTCCTGGATCAAGGGGAAGTCGATGTAAAACCTCATCACCTGCAAGGTGATCTCGATGCCCCCATGCTGCATGATCTGCGGCCGGCACTCCTCAGCTGCAAGAAACCCGCCGAACCGGAAGGAAGCCTGCAGCTTTTTGTTGAAACCGTGGGCTCCCAAACGGGGAAAAAAAAAGAAGCCGCCAGGAAACCGAGTGCACCAAAGACGTCTTCCAAAGGAAAGGTGCTCTTCCAAAAGACGTCTGGTGGTTACTTCCATATTTGTCGGTCGAGCGAAGGCGCCAATCGAAAGCTCATGGCTCGAAGAGCAAACGAGCTCACGGTATCCAGTGGGACTGTTGGACTTCGCGCCGCTGACCTCCTCATTTACCAAGCTTCAACCCCAACCGCTCACTCACGCGTAGGCCTTGTGCTGTTCGCTCGTTCACTCCGAGCGCGGTAAACCTCCCAGACATACAAAGGATGAACACCCGGTGCTATTCTTGCATCAAAAGAGCAGATATCTGCTCTTATTTCTGGTAGGTGTTGATTGCGGCTCTGGAAGACTGGGCGTTCAGGGGCAGAGCAACAATTGTCAACTCATATCCATCAGTTCTGGAGACCCTGCAAAAACACGTGGACAAAGCGATGAAATCCTCTTTGGGCTTTTTTGGGGAACCGAAACCAGCGATGGGCAAATGGCTGTGGGTCAAAAATATGTACCCAAAATGGCTTGCCCTGGGTAAATGGAAACATGGACTAAAACCTGCGGTCCAATCCCTGGTGGTTTAATTTTGACCCATACCCAATTGGTTTGCAGCCAAACCGCTTGGTTGCTGGAGATGGCCGCCAGCAAGTTCATGCCCTGCGTGATCAGCTCTACGGTGCCCTCGTCGGTGCCCCTGGTGTCCTTAGACCGGACACGGGCAAAGGCTGGCTGGCGAAAGGTAGGGTGGGTGGGTGGTTCTCGGGGGGGTGGGGTGGGTGGATGTTTCTCGGGGGCGCGGGGTGGATGGATGTTTCTAGGGAAAGAACCCCCCGGAAATAACCAGTCACTCGCCAAAATGAGCCCCCGAGGCGGTTCATCTCAGCGTCTGCGGCGGAGCAGATGGCGTTCAGGATGGCCGGGATGCCCTGCGCCTGGTAGAGCCCGGCCTCGCCGCGAAAAGGCGACTGGGGTGTGACCGACTGAAACATCCCCTCACGAGGTAAACCTTTCGTGACTTGGAAATTGGGGGGATTCCCAACTAGATGCACCCTTTTTGAGACGGCTTGCAAGCAAACCCGACATGTTTCACCAATCACTCGGACACTGCCACATATGGACCATGGCCCATCGAATTTAGGACATTGTCTGATTATCAGCAAGGTCTTTATCATAACTGAAAACCCCGAAAGAGGATATCTAGCCAACATGACATCAGCCCTCAGTTTTGACGCCACCTCGGGGGCACCATCAAAAGAGAACCAACTTGGGTTGCCAACCATCTTCCCCGGTGAATCTCATGGGATGACTTGAAATTGAGAACCCGCTTCGGGTTGTCAAGGGTGAACCATTTTGAATGGGAACTCCGAACAGGTAAAGGTAGATGCCTCTACAAATGAGTTTTGTCTACAATCTAAGGAGCATGGATTCAGCATCTTCCGCCCTTAGCGAACTGTGACAAGAGAAAGCTCCCGAGATCCTGGCTTTCCCTTTGGTTTCATGGCACCCCGAAAGCACCGAGCCACCAAAAATCGGCGCTCTCGCCCGCGCCTGGATGGCGGGGTTGTTGGCACAGAGCGTGGCCAAACACTGGAGTCCCAGCGCCTGCACCCGGCTGTTGCCGCTGTGGCCCTGCATCACCTGCCTTGCAGTCTCCGGGGTGAGCCGTGCCAATCCGAAAATGGGGAGCGGTGGGGCAGTGACAAAGAACCAGCTTTGTTCAACTAAAATCAGGGCATCAACAAATGGAAAGTTGGAGGGTGGTCTCAACACGGCTCATTGAAGCCAAACGCAGCCATTTGCGGGCTGGGCGTGGTTCGGTTTCCACAGAGGTTCCGAGGAACGAGGCTCGGGTGCGTCCGAGTGGCAGCAGGATAGGGATGATGCCCGCATTCACCAAAGCGTCTTTGCAGCCCTCGTGCTTTGCCAGCTCGTTGATCATCCCCAGCGCACTGATCGCCACCTCACATCGATCGCCGGTTGAGAGGGAAAAAATGCAAAGGGCGGGGCCTCTGCAGGTTCCCTGCCGAGGGTGGGCCACCCACTTTTAACGTTTACATTCCCAAGGAGGTTTGACATAAACAGCACCGCAGCATTTTCACTCCAGCGATGCGCTACGAGTCTGATAGCCTGACAACCCACCTTTTCCTGTGGGATTTGCATTGGTATCCACAGCATGAATTTCCTCATGCTGTGGCCCAGCCAATTCGCCGATTTCCTCGGCACATCGGGTTTACCCCCGATAAGCTCTGGATGCCCTGCATCAAGCAGGATACATCTCCCACCACAGAGCTAACTGACTGACTGGGGGCCTGGTCCCCCAGGCATTCCCCAAGCGCGGCGCGCTCTTCAAAGATCACGGACGTCCCAACTAGGGGGGCCGGTGATCTAGGGCGGGATAGGGTGGGGTTAAAATTTAGCCAGTTTGGATCATGCTTGAGCCAAAAGGCCCCGCATGATCCAATACACTCCTTGCAGAATGAAGCCTGTAAACCCAAGCCTTCCAACCTGATACAGGATTACATTCCCAAGGAGGTTTGACATAAACAGCACCGCAGCATTTTCACTCCAGCGATGCGCACGAGTCTGATAGCCTGACAACCCACCTTTTCCTGTGGGATTTGCATTGGTATCCACAGCATGAATTTCCTCATGCTGTGGCCCAGCCAATTCGCCGATTTCCTCGGCACATCGGGTTTACCCCCGATAAGCTCTGGATGCCCTGCATCAAGCAGGATACATCTCCCAACGCACTTACTTTCACAACCTCTTTCACAACCTCTCCCAATGCACTCACAGGAACTCAGCAAAGGTAATCACTGCTCGGTACGGAAGCCTCAGTAGAGCTGGAGGGAAAAGACTGAAATTCAACTTGAAGTGGTTGGCCCTGTACCATGGGTCACTGGGTCCTAATCGGCTGATCGCGTCGGCCCAATTGGATTTGGATGGAATGTATTCCCAGTAAAGTGACGCTCGCAACGCAAAAAGCAAACACTGAATATACGTCGCCATCTTGGCCAAGTCGGGGTTGTCACTCCTGCCCCTGATCAAACACATAAGACTGGCGATGTTGTCGATGAACCACACTCCGCGTCTCCCGCGGAATTGGTCGGGTCTCGCCGTAAGGGCGTGCACCACCATGAACAGCTCCAACTGGGCTATTTTATGGTCTCCTGGTCCCCACATGTCATAGGTCTGCGCGGGGATGATGGCTACAAAGGCCTCCCGAATCTGCACGCCACCGTCCTGGAAGACCAAGTGGTATCCGCCGGATCCTTGGGGAGGACCATCAGCTCTCTCCTGGGGTGCATGCTGCTAGCCTCCAACACGTCAAAAGCCGCCAGGAGGCTGGCGTTGGCTCTGCTGGAGCCCCCGTACTGGTGCTCCTTCAACGCCTGGATTTCGCCCAAGCCAATGCGCCCGAAGAGGCCATGCTCCAGGAAGTTGACCATGCCGTAGAGTTTCGCAGCTTGACCCGGGGTGAACTTCCCGCTCTTCCTGGCTTCGCGCATGAAGGTGAGCACCTTCTGTTCGAGTCGCTCTCGAACCCAAAACCGCGCGCGCCCATGTGTGTGGACCTCCGAGAGATCGAAATCAAGCCCCAAGAAGGTACCGACATCCGCAGCTCCCTGGCGCTTCTCCTCAGCGAACGGGGTGCCCAGCAGGTCGTTGAGGGCGCCAAAACTCCACTGGGCTGATGGGCCGTGTACTGCGCGGTCTGTGATGTGACTGTCGTCGAAATACATGGGCACCATAATTGCCAGAAAACGCCTGCCCATAGCTTCCGCCATCCGGGAGTAGCGGTTGAAGGAGGTGACCGCCAACGGAAGGCCGAACAAGAGGGCGTGGTACACCTGGAAGGCCGGCTCCTGCCATTCTTGGTGGTACCAAACTACTACGCAGGCCAGGGCCTCCTGTCGTGACATGGGACAGTGGCGGTAGCCCGTCCACTGCCCCTGCCCGTCCACTGCCCCTGCTGCGCGAACCGCTCCCAGGTGCACTCCTGAAGGCAGGCTGCCGCAGCTTGGACGTGGAGCGCTGGGCGGAGCGGCGTACACAAAACAAGTTTGTTGGCATCTCTGGACGATGCAGACTGCCCGCCCCGTGCTGCGTCGTCTATCAGACGCTGCTTGCCAGACGCCTGTGTGATGACACAGCGAGGTATGAGCCGGTATGGGTCTCCTTTGGCATACCGCTTGAGCTGGCTCAGGTTCATCGGGGGGGTGCAAAACCCCTCCTTGTGATCCTTTGTGGACTGCTCAAGAACGAAGGAGTCCGTGGAACCCGGCCGCACTCCTGCGATGGTGGCGGCGTTGTGTTCCTCCCAACCAGCCAGTACCTCCGAGTGGGCGATCGCCTCGACGGGCTGGTGGGGGAAGACTCCGTAATGAGGGGCATAGCCCACTGCTGGAAGGCCTTTGATGAAGCCGTGAGGGAGGGCGAAGTCGCCCCACTGCATGAGGACGACGAAGAGCCCCAGCAAACCCAGATCGCGTTTCGAGGTAACTCCTCGGATGGCTTCGGACTGGAAGGCCACGAGGCACCGGCGCCCACCTGCGCTTCAGCTCCTTGATGGCCCCGATGGACGCCTGGCGGCGTCTCTTTAGGTCGTGATTCTCCATCACCATGCTGGCCGCGTACCACAGGTCGTCGTCCAACGTAGGAGGGACTTCCAACGGGGTTGCCGTGTGGGTCCACTGCAGGGATGCGGCGAAATGGGCGTCCGGCTCCAGCCCATATCCTACCAGAGGTGGAATGGAGGCCTTGTGGTTGTAGGCTCCATGCTGCTTCCCCTCTGCCAACCGCTGCCGCCTCCGACTAGCGTTGGACGAAGAGGGCGGCCCCAGGGGTCCGTCCCACTCCATCCCGCGACTCTGGCGCCAGTCCAAGTAGCACGTAAAGGGTTCCTTGTTCAACAGGTCCTCCAACATGGGCCACTGAAAAGATTGGAACCACTCTGCCGGGTAGAGCTTGCGAAAGGCCAAACTTACGTCCTCCTGCGGAAACCAGAGTGACATCGACTGCAGGGCGGCCCTGACCACAGAGCCCCTGGCCTGCCTGTGCCGCCGCCCAGTGACTCTGGACAGGCTAGCCTCGGCATCCGGATGGGTCGCATCAAAGACCATCCCAGCCAGCGCATCTGCCTCGCAGACACCGTCCGGGCCGCAATCGCATGCCAGCCGTTTGCCTTGCAGCGCAGGCAGCTCCGCCTGCAAATTGGCGAGCACGAAGTCCACGTAGAGCGGCAGCCAGTCGTCCGTCGTACAGGTGTGCCCCTGCACGAACGGTGATGCCCACTGACCGTGGGACCCGGTGGGAGTGGTGGCCCTGACCCACGTAAACCACGTCCGGAGGCAGCTTACCATCGGCAAGTACGTCCGCCACTCGTACCACCGTGGGCAGCCGTGCCCGCTCCTCGGGATGCAGTGGTGGCAACCCGAGTGTGATGGCCAGCGGAGTCATGGCCCAGCTACGCATAGCTCTGGGATCGATGTCCAGCCAGTGTTGCCGTCGGCCACACGCCTCCAGCGGCGGCATCCGAGGCACGTGGAGTCGGGCATGCCCTTCTCGGACCGCCCACCAACTGACCGAGACCGCAATTGCGAAGGCCAGGGTGGCCGAATACTCCGCCTCCTCCTTGGATGGGAACTGGTGTCGCCCCTGGGTGTCCTCCCAAGGATCCCACTCCCAGGCTGCATGCTGATGGTGGCACTCGCGGTGGATCAGCTCGATCTCATGGATGTTGTGCCGCAGCCGCTGGTGTTTGCAACGCGCTGACATGAAAACGCATGCCGAGTACGTTGTATCGTACCAGAGGCCGGACTCCATCATGGTCTCCTCCTGCGGGAGGGACCAATGGAGGCTTCGAGCCGGGTTCTCCCGCAGGGCCCCTCTGCCATCGTCTGCTATAGCCTGGAGCTGCTTCAGGATCCAGGAGCATGCCGCATTGTCCACGTCCACCCGCCTTTGGTTCTTGGGGTCAAGCCCGGGCAAACCTTCTGGGTGTGCCTCAGAACGCAGCGGTTTGGGACCTGGGCGGCCGTCCGCAAAGATTCTGGGGATCTCTCTGGCCCTGGATTTCGTGGAGCAGTCCAGGGCTGCTGCTGTGAAGGCTGCTGACCGCATCGGTGCCTCCAGTGCTTGTTGCCTCACCGGGTTAGACAGGTCGTGCCCCGGGTCCAGCGACCAGTCGATGGGCAGCACCCTCCAGCCACAAAACAGAAACGCCTTCGCCAGGGGCATGTTGGGACCACACATGAGGTCGACCATCAACGGGCCGCCCTCCTGGGATCCGGTGTGGGGGTGCGAGAGTTCTGACCCTATGGGGGAGTCCCCCTCCCCCCCAAAGACTTCTTCGCTGCCCGACACTCCTTGGCTCCGTGATTCTGCATCCCGCAGACTCGGTCGCCCCTGAGGATCGCAGCTGTGCTGGTCGTTGGGGCATGACTGCCCCGCCTTGCATTGCCCATGTTGGAAAGCCTGGCATAGCACGGTGCCATCTCTCATGGCGCGTGCGACCGCTCTCCCTGCGATCGGCTTTGCCAGCGGGGGTTTGCCCCCCCTTGCTGCCGGCTTGGCAGGCGACGCCTGCGGGCGCTCCCTGGTCGGCGCCGAGAGGTTTCCGGTCGGGACCCAGTGGGCGTCCCGTGCCTCGTATGTGGCCTTGATGACCTGGCCCAGCGTCAGGGTGGACTGCCATGCCAGTCGGCTGGCATAGGGCAGGCTGGCCGATGTGCGCCGGGCTCTCGCGTGGTACCGCATCACCACGTCCAACGGCACGTAGACGAACTTCGTGGTGTCCGCCCCGAGCACGTCTTCTTCCTTGGCCGGGGGCGCGTTGTCCAGCGCTTTCACCCCGCCCAGGGCGTAGGCCAGCAGCAACGTGAAGAGCCTGTCCAGGTACGTTTCCCAGTCCTGGTGCCCGGGCTGCTCGTCGTCTGGCTCCTCCGTCCACAGGCCTTC